CAGCCCTCTTTAGCTATATATAAGTAGTCTGAACTCATTTGCGCAACCTGGTTGTGTTTTAAGGGGGATCTAGAGGGTTATCATGACAGAGGACTTCTTACAAGGTGAATTCATCTACGTCTCCCTGACAATACGATTAAGTTACAAATACGAGGTCAAACCATTTCCAAAAAATTACTATTTTGCTACAAAATATTTGTTGGGAAACCAGCAGTTCGTCGTGTTATATTATTTTAGATTATTATTTTCTTTCAAAATTAGACGATCTGGACAAATTGATGTTCTGATACGGACAGGAGAGTTTTACAACGACTTGATGGCGAAATTCGACGAGGGTCTTGCTTTCTACGCACAAATGCTTCTACGCCTCCGCAATCTACATAATGAGGCCAACCTCCTGTCTAATCGCATTGAGGCTATTACTATGACTGTGACACGTTCGCAGACATCCGGTCTTTCCACCTCTTCTCAGTCTCCGTCTTCTGAAATTAAAGTCATCCCAACTTCTAAAACGTTCCTCTCTTTGGACACACTACCCCCTGCTTCTCAGTTCGTCTCCCCTTCACTTTGTTCTGCTACTAAACCAATCACTGACTTGACTTCAGCCTCAGGCTTGACTCCGAATTCTGTGCTCCCTTCTATCCCAAATAAGCTTTTAAGTTCTGATCCGACGCCTCAGGACTATACAACTGGCAAGTTCTGATACAAAGTTCTTATTATTCTGCCTTGAACATTTTTTCTGTTTTGCTGCATTAATTTTTAGGACAGCCTACATTATATTTAAGTTATGAAATAAAATGTATAAAATAAATCCCCATCTTCCTCGTAAAGGGGGTGGCCTGAACACAGCCACCAAATCCTATTTTATCTATTCACCCGAAGACATTATACCTGAAATCTTATTATCTTAGTCTCACTTGACTTATTTTTGATTTTAGCTGCCTCAATGCGCACCCTCGGCGACTACATTGCGGCAAAAAAATCTGTGTATTCGCCAACTTTTCCGCCTCCGGTTGCTACTACTAAACCTGGACTTGGCATTCCACTCGCAAGTGCCGATCAACTTTCTGCCCAAACTTTTATGCATCATCCATTTGCACTTCCACCCAATGTATACTCAGCTACATCGCCTCCAAACACTTTTCTTCACTCGTCCTGTATGACACCTCCATCTTCTGCTTTTGTGCCAGATAACAAGTCTCTAGCGATCACTATAAATTCTAATCAGTCAGAGGTTATTTCTTCGACTCTGGGTACCTCCATGATAAGAAACTTAGGTCCTCAATCTACCTTTTCCACCGGCGCATTTACCGGAAATTCGAGCCATCAGACATCATTATCAGTTTCTGCTACAAATGGAACCACCATTCATCCTGTCATCCTGCCACCTATCACATTGGCTTCTCTTGGTCCTCCACCTCTCGTATCCTCTGGAGTCTATTCTGGCTGGCCTCAACCAGCCTTTTGCCCTGGGGCAGACCAGAAAGCTTTTCCCGCTGGTCTTACTGAATCACAAAATTCTATGAAGCAGCCCAAAATTTCACAGCTACAACAGCCTACCCAACCTCTTCAGCTACAGCCATCGCAGCAAATATCTTTGCCATTGCCTTCTTTGTCACAGAATACCAATCAACAAGTGCAGCTGCAACACCAATTTCCCAAGGCTTTGCCTCCTGCTCAGCCTCTTCAGCATCATGAGCAGCAATTGCAGCTAATGCAGCCTCCCGTTTATTACCATCAGTCCCCACAGCAGCCCTTACTGACCTGGCAACC